CTGTAGTGCCAAAAAATTAAAGACTGAGGTGGTTGTCCATCAATTGGGGAATGGCTGGACAAGTTTATGGTATATGAAAGTGATAAAATACTATTGTGCTCTAAGAAATGATGAAGGAAATGATTTCAGAGAAAACTACGAAGACTTATATGAACTGATATGGGGGAGGGAGTAGGGGAGCAGAAACAGGAGAACAGTTTATATGGTGGCAACATTATGGTAAACCAAACAACTTTAAAAGACTTAGAAATTCTGGTCAATGCAGTGACCAACCATGATACCAGAGGACTCCAGGCAAAACATGCTACCCACCTTCAGCTAAAAAAGTAATGGACTCAGAATACCGATTGAGACACACACGTGTATTAACAGGGTTTGTTTACTTTCGCAATGGGGGGCAGAGATGGGAAGGAGAGAATTTGGAGACAAAAATAAAATTGAATTTTTACAAAAGAATCCTTTCTATAATATCCTTTCCAAGTGCCCTAACCCCCTCCCCATGCCCAGCCTCTTGAGGACCTCTGGTGAGGGGGAACCCATTCCCTCCTGAAGCTGCCCATCCCACTGTTGGATAGTTGTGAGGGAGTTTTTCCTGACATCAGGCTTAAATCTGCCTCTCTTCTAACTTCCCACTACTGATCCAGCTGCGTCCCCTAGGACCAAGCAGAACAAGGCTGATCCCTCTTCAGGTGACACTCCAAGCATTCAAAATCTTCTCTCCGAGCTAAACACCCCCATTTCCTTTGACTGGTCCCATTTATAATATATTCTAGCAGTCATAATAGCTGATGACTGGTGTTGGCCGGGGAGAAGCTGTTCAGTGACTCACCACCAACCCTCTCAGCCTTCTCTTCCTCTCTCTCGAACTCACACACACACATACACATACACACCCACACACACAGAAGAGATGGTGGCAGTGGTGGGGGACTTGGACCCCTAGGACCCAGACACATTCTTGTGAAGAATCCAGTGCAGGAGACAGGGGCATGGCTGCCGGGGACTGCTGTGAGGGCGGGATGAGAATGAGGATGTCAAGAAAAACTGATGAAGAAGAAAAAAAACAGAGGGGCCAGAGATAAGATCAGAAATGAAAATTTCAGAAAAGAAAAAAATGGAGAAAATGAAAGAGAAAGAACAGCAGCAGAAGAAAAGACAAGAAATTAAGAAAAGGTTAGAAGAGTCTGAAGAGCTCACACCACCAAGAACAACGAGCAGGTGAACTATGGCTAAAAAAACTAGAGGAAGAGGCAGACCTTGAAGTAGCAAGAGAGACCTTTGTCATAAAAGATAAAATCACAGCGTGAAAAATCTCTACATTCTGCCAGTTTCTTGGAAGCCCTAGTTAGAGATGTGTGTATTTCATTGGAAATGGGATGACTTGAAAAAGATGACCAATTCATTGTTAGCATCATGCAGGGAAACATGGAAATGAGGGAAGCTAGCCCCTCCTCCTCCACCCCAGAAGAGAGGCATGGTTCCTGAGGGGAGGGGGCGCTGAAGGCTACAATAGAATATGATCTTGCGGACTATAGTCTGCAAGACTTTGGAAGATGGTGCAAGACTTTGAAGACTTTCATGTGACATTTCATCAGCTTCTGTCATTCACAGTCATTTCAACATGTAGCACACTTTTATTTTCCAGTTCTGCTAAATGCTACAATCAAAAGTGCAGTAGCTTTGTTCTGATTGCTTAACCCCTTGAAACTTAGATGCTAATGCAATGGGGAACTTAGTTCTTGTTGCCAAGGGCTTAAAATCAGGGAACTCAGTTGTTAGTAAATGATAGTAAAAGAAGTCCCAATAATGATGTCACTGTTGCTAATGGTAGCAGAACCACTAAACTGGAAACAGCTGCAGAATGACAAAAGACAAAACATAGCAAAACTATGTAGCATTTACCGGAGTCATTCAGTAATACAAACTTGACCATACCTCCTTGAACTATTTCATATCTTGTCAACAAAAGCAGTTTGCAACAAGGATGTGTGAGTGTGCACCTGGTATGGAAATTGCTTTGGCTTAAGGTGGAATGTAGGATTTAAAAAACCCATTGCACAGAAACCGGTTTATTTCAGAGTAAGGATACTGTACCTGGAATGGCTACTCATTTGACATTTTAAAAATTATGTAACTGAAAACGTGAAGCTGAAGAGGTAATGTCTCCATTGTTGAATTTGACAAAACCCAACTTGTGGCATATTGAGTGTTTAAACAGTCAAGTTTATATTTATTGGAATGTTTCTACTGATGCAGCTCTTGGCGGGGCTTGAGGGGGAGTGCTTTATTATTATTATTATTATTATTATTATTTTTGCTTGATTTAAAATGTCTGAAGAACAAAACTTCCTTTGTTCTAGGCTGACAAAGAACAACTTTCACCAGGTTTGGGCATTTCCTTTCCTTTACAAACATGCTTAACAAACTGCAAACAGTTACTATGGTTTGGTAAATTGTTATATTAACAATTATGACATCTGCAATGTTTTACAAAGTAACTAAGTTAACAAAATCATTTGTTAACAGGATTTTACTGAGCCAATGTCTAACCTGAGAATGACGAAACAGCAGGCTAGAGACAAAGTATCAGTAATCAGGTAGCCGTTTAATTAATTGGTTTCATTATGAGGATCAGATTTGCAAATTGGGAATTCTTTTGATCAGAATTCCACTGTGCTGAAGTGAAGACAGAGACTATATACATAAATCACAAATGGGAAGAGGGGGATGAAGGTGGATTGCCGACAGTTGTTCCCAGGGCCAGAGTAGTTTCCCATGAAAAGCCCATAAATGGAAGATAATACAACAATTCTGGAGTCCTGTGGAGCAATACTGCTCAAGTCCTTAGGGGTCCTTACTTGGTGGGTCACAGGGCCGGAATTCTGTGATGGGAACACGTTCTGCCTTCTTTGATTCACTTCCTTCAGATAGAAAGGCAGAAGAACGCTGGTGATTGTGAGCCCTGTCAGGGTCTGATGGATCAGTTGAAGCTCCATTGTGAATCTGGCTCACAAACTGGAAAAGGCAGTTCTGCAGAATTTAATCTATTAGTAAATTCATTACACATATCGTATTGATTAATATGAAAATCTGAGATCTCAGATCTGTGAAGGAATGGCTGTTAACCTCCCTCCCTTCAACGGCTGATTGACAGCGCTCTGTGTCTTTCTGACTTCTTAGGGTGATCCGAGTGAACACTTTTTCTGGGAGCTTGAGGGAAGCAGAGCTTCTAGGACCTCTGGGTTCTCTGTTCTGGGATGAAGAAAACCTGGCCTAGCTTCCAGACTTCCAGTGTGCTTGATCTTCAGAACCACGGATAGCTCCCAAACCCCTTCTGGTCACCTCCAGAGGGCACCCCTAGCTAAGAGTTTCCTGAGGAGTGTCCGGGCCAGTCTTCCTGTAGAGAGGTCATTCCAGGCCTGTCCTGTAGGTGGCTCCCTGGTTTGGGGGGTGTGTGTGTGTGTGTGTGTGTGTGTGTGTGTGTGTGTGTGTGTGTG